CACAAAATATTATAAAATCATAAGAGCCAGGGAGTACAGATGTGTTTTAGGATATGACCTGAAACACTGAAAGTTGAAACCTGTCTAATTCTATGCTTTAAGACCTGATCACCTCTGTATACTCTAATGTGGCTGACAGACTTTCTCCTTCCACCCCACCCGAGACTTAGTACTTGTACTATAGCATACTGGGCTACAATAGTAATACTAGTAGTTTTGGTACAATAAACTTAGCAGTATTAGTGCAGCTCATACTAGGACTACTAGATCCGGTGATATCTCTGTTAATCTGAAATGTGAAGCTGTTAACTGTGGTTGAATTAGCTCAAGATCATTTGTATAAAACTTCAACCTTTATATTCTTAAAATRCTGAAAGGAAGAAGCCATGATTATGTGGTCCCTGGACTGGACTTTTGTTGGCTATAGCTACTTTAGATTTTAGCTTAGTGAATTGCTACTTTTTAGCTTCAAGTTAGACTTCTGACACTTTAGCTAGGCTTGCTACTTTAGGTTTTAGCTATACCTTTGCTACTTTTTATCATTTAAATAAACTCTTGCTGCTTTTAGCAAGCGTTTTACTTATCCTAACTTTCAACAAGTATTCTGCCATTTTTTACATTTGAAAACTCAAGCTTCAGCACGAATTATGACGCATTTCAGCAGAAAATGACTGTTCCGTATTTCACTTTTATTTTTTTWAATCTACACCGGAAACGCGCTGTCGTCGACAGTCACGTGACAGTGTTCCTGCCGAAGCAGTAAATATCAGACAAGCTAGCAGATACAGGTTTATGAAGATACAGCCCGTTCAAAGGGACTGGACAATGTGTGACCACCCCTAGCCGGTCCAGAGCCTTCAGGAGGCCGTGTGGTTTGTTTCGCTGCCCGAGGGATGAGCCCGCAGCCCCGGCCGTGACCGTAAAGGAGGCTCCATCAAATCTCGCTTCTTCACACGTTAGCCCCCAGCGCTAAAGGGGAGAGGCGTCGTTGCTGCCTGCTGGTGACTATGCAAGGGGAAACTGCGGCGGTACGAGTCGCAGAAAACGACGGGAAGCTGGATGTGTTTCCCCAGAACAGGACCCCGAGTTCGGGGAGGGCGAGTGCCAAAAGTTGGCAGTACAGGTGGGTTTTGGTGTCAGCCCAAGACGTCGAGCCTGGTTGTTACTGCTGTGATCAGTTTTCCTGCTATCTGACTCACAGGCAGAGAGGAAAGTGATTTAATCAGGTCCAGGTGCTYGAGTGTGTGTTCTGCTAAAGATAAAGGTTGTCGCCCTTTGAGCCACTGCTGTCTGGAAGGAGTTCCCACTCATAGATTWGTGTGTTTACGTTTTGCAGTGCACTCACTCAGTCCAAACATTTTTTATCTCCATTTTTTTCTCCCCACAAATCAGTGATCACATGGAGAACATCGATGGCTACCTGATGAAGTACACAAACCTGGTAACAGGCTGGCAGTACAGGTGAGCATGTTTACCTCGTTTTAATCCTAAATATAACACTATGATGTATGTAAGAAACGTTTCACCAAGGGACAACTTAATTTTGGTGAATACTGATTCTTACAATTATTTCGTGTATTTTCCCTCCATTTTGCAATAAAACTACTTCTGCATACTTTGTACTGTTTTAGGGCTGCCACGATTAATCGACGACTAATCGATTATTAAAATAATCGATGACTAATTTAATAATCGATTAATCGTTTTCTTT